ATGTGAGCAGTACATATAACTTTGGTAAGCATTTTGGTCATTTGGAGTTTTCTTTAATTTTTTTTCTTCCCAGTCTCTCCCGAGAGTGACAGAACGAACACTTTCATGTATAATTCCAGAAATAGTATTGAATACATCTAAAGTTATTTCCATTGATTGATCGCTCTGTCTGGGCGCTGTTGAAAATGTATGATTGGGTTGCGCTTGTGTTCTAAAGTAAGTTTGTCAATCTTCAAAGGATCCTCGGAAGGACGTTAGAAAGGTATTTGCCTTCTGGGTAGGATGGGTCAATGGGATGATTGCGTGCTGATACGGCGTCCCGTGGAACGGTTATTTTTCTCCTTGCCGCTGATGCTGCATCATGAAAATTTTAGCGAGCAAATAGTTGAGAAAGATGAAGAGTTGCTCCTCAAATTAATTATCAACCAAATTTATATGAATAAAGTGTCATGGTTTGATTCAGATAACAAGCTAACAGTACATGCCATTTCAAAAATCGGAAGAGATTTTCGTTTTACGCCTAGTCTTCCTGTGCACTTGCAGAAATAAGGGAAGGGAGTGCAGAAGGAGAAAGCGAGAGCGCGGACACAAATTCTATTCATTTTGGCCAAAAACGACATTTTCGTAACCGTGCTTCGAGGCAGCATTGTATGCTGTCTCTAGTTTCAGTTCCGAAGTGTAGAAAACTGTTGATTTTGAAGCTCTTTAGATACATTATAGCAATCGCGCTTGAAGTATAAATGAACAGAGTGGAACAAAATGTCGCTTCGGGAAACATGGGTATTGAATATCTTAAAAACCCGTAGATTCCCAATTTAAAGGAATTCCTGCCAAGATGACAGAACCTACCGTAGGTGCCTCTACATGAGCTTTAGGTAACCAAATATGAACTGATACCACAGGTACTTTGACGGCGAAGGAGGCGAACAAGCAATCCATAGAATGATGGTGAAAATCAGAGCTTTTTCTATTGTAGATGCAGCATCAACCTATATTCATCTGAAACACTCATCAACAATCGGAAACATACATGAACCTGAACGAATAATCTTCTTTATGCATACAAGGCTCCTAAGCCAGCGGAAATCGGTGTTCATATAATTTCATGAGATTAGTAACGTCTACTGTATTTAGGGCGTTAAACATTTAGTGAAGGTACCGTTCAATTTGCCTGAAGAATACGCAAGAACGTCCCACTCTGCGTCATAGCTCCCGAACATGAACAAGTCATGAGAAGACCACCTCTCTTTGTCAGTTGCATTGCCAATGAATTCAAATTTCTATACATCCCTGATGCAATATGTAAAACCTGGATTCAATAACAACCCAATAAGAAGCAGTAAGATTCACAAAAGAATCACTAACGGACAGGCAGAAGAAGCAATGAGTAATAGACGGGGGAACAAGCACAATGTGCTCGTATTTGTAATGAAACAACTCGAATACATGGTACGGATTTAACTGAACAGTACCTTCTTTCGGATTTAAATGACAATATCCCACGATTCATTCCTAGAAAGAGCACCCTTCATAAACTCACTTGCATCTTCTTTAAGCAACGTTATTCTTCCTGGATCCATGTTGTTAAGAACATTTTCTTTGGCTAGCTCAATCGCAGGCAATGATGAATCGATGCCTGACGGAATACAGGAATAATTAGAAACTCATCTAGCTTTTGAACATGCAATCTTAAGATGTCCTATGAAGATGAATATATAGCATCGAATTCTAGACGTCCTTTTAAACGGAAGATTACCGAGAAAGTTAAATGAATATCAGGTGAAAAATTCTCAGCTTTTGTTGCCTCACAAAATGAATACGTCTTCGGTATTAAAGATCCCTCCCATGGCCTGATTCATATTTTATGAGCAGGATGATCAAACAACAAAAGTGGGACAAAATCTATCTTTGAATGGCAGTTCAGTAAGAATCGAACCTAGCCAATTTCAGTGAAGTTCTTATAGAAGGACATGTTCTAAATCAAATTATTCATACCAATGACATTCGCAGCACCCCATTGTGCAGCATTTAGAGCAAAACTACCACTGTAGCAGAACATATCAAGAACTTTCTGACCGTCTGAAATTGTTGATATGAATTGATGGTTTCCACGCTGGTCAGCATTAAACCCTGTCTTCTGTCCCTCAAGTGAAATGGAATAAAAGATCCCGTTTTCCATAACCTAAATAATTGCAACAGGAAATTAAACATTCACTTACCACAGATCTCATAAAGCACAAAAAGGAAAAGTATAAACTGTGCTGCCTGAAGAATGTTAAATTTTGTGGGGTATCCTACTTTGTTCTTTGAGGACAGATATATGGATCCCTTTCCTTGGATTTTGACACATCCAATCCTTCTCCTTTTAAACTTCCAAAGACGGTCTCCAGTTTACATAATTAACTTGGTCAATTCTACTAATACAGGCCTCTACTTCTGCTTTGTACTTGTCAACCCAAGCAGCAGACAATGCTACTACCGCTACACATCCAAATGTATCCACAATTAGTCCTGACAATCTGTGGTGAAAAATGGATATCAACAGGAAAATTGGTGAACTAGTATGTCCACAGAAAATTCCATACAATATAGAACTACACATTTCAGATTAAGTGATACAAATCCCACATGTTTCGTTTACACTAATTTGAATTCCAAATTTGACGGCAAACTTAACAAAAGACAAGCTTAACAAGTTTAACAAGTTTCTATTAATCCTACAACAACACTAACAGAAATCTAAATTTACTACTCAAGGTCATGTACCTGTGTGCTTTTCACCATTGACAAGATGGAATCTCCAGTCTCCACACATTTGTACTAGCTGATGGAAGCCCCAAACTCTTACGTAGTTCTACAGCTTCATTAATTCTTCTTCAAGTTGCATCAGCTGAAAACTGAACATGGAGACTGAATTGTACATGCCCCATCCTATCAACACCTACCAAGGCCAGCCCCATCACAAAGACGTTTAAGAAATTTTAAGAATTAATCAACGCATAGAAAGCTCCTCACAAGAATTTTAAGAATCTTCTAGCATCAAAGTAAAGTTTAAGGAAAACAAATGAATGTGAAACTTTAACAGGCGGACTGGAAGAAGATGCTGCACACCTTTTTTTTTTTTTTTTTTTTTTCTTTCCGCAGCTCGGAGAACACTGTGTCAAACTGAAAAGGATTTATCTTTATCATCACCAAAAGTAAGCTGTTTACGGGTTTCCCCATACCCGGCTACCCGGCTTGCGTCAATGTGGCATCCATTTAGTGGGTTAATAAGTTGTTTAATGCTCTTCTTCTTCCTTTTTGTTGGTTTGTGTCTGCTTATCTTATGTGTGATGCCATCAATGTGGTACTATTTGATTTGAGAAAATTGAGAAAATTGCAGCAGTTTCTTTCGTATGGTTTTGGACTTCAATCTTAGTTTTGACTTTGTTCATGAAACTGCTATTTCTTTTGTCTGTATAGTTATCCAGTTGATTAATTCCTGAATTCCTTTCCTTATTTAATGCAAGTTTGATGGAAAGGACATGCCAATGGACCTCAAGTGTGAGATTTTATCTCAAAAGGTCTCCGTGTAATTAGAAGAAACACATTTTAGATTATTTTTGTACTTCTCCGATATGGGATTCTCTTCACTTGGCGTAATTAGAATTGAAACACCTACATTTAAACCTTATATTATTGTTGTACTTCTCCGATGTGGGATTCTCTTCACATACATCTTGGCTTGTATTGAGCCAACCTTTAACACCAACAATCGCCACCTTGGCGGTGCTCCACTTAGCTCTTGGCAGACTAGGATTCCCGAGCCCTACTCTATCAACCATGCATCGCTCTTGGCAGACTAGGATTCCCGAGCCCTGCTCTATCAACCATGCTTCACCTTTTTTCCCTAGTCCTCCAAGAGTAATGAGTTGCAACCGCGTATCAGAGTTTGACCATGTGCCTTCCACCTTAAAGGTGTGCGCCAAAGCCGAACCACATAAGTGTCCACTACTAAGGTTGTTGGGTACTAATATTGGCCCCACTTAACCACCTAGGTCCAATTTTTCTGGGTGGTATTACGACCAGTGGACCTCAGGTGTGGAGTTTTATCTCAAAAAATCTTGGTGCAATTAGGAGTGGAACACCTTATTTAAACCTTAGATTATAGTTGTAATTCTCCGATGTGGGATTCTCTTCACATTCATCTTGGCTTGTGTTGAGCCAACCTTTTACACTAACATGACCATTATAGGGCTGGAGTAAGGCGAATCGAAATATGAATAGCTCAGAAATTCGGTCATGCACTCAACAACCTCTATCGCAGAGTTGTACAAATGGATAAGTGATGCCACCATCATTTTGTTTCGGATAAGTGGGCGAAGTCCATCGACTTTGCAAAGATTGACCATTTTTGTTCCATTAGATGCGAAAACCTAATCTACTACGAAATTATCCAGTTTCCTATATTATTGAAGATACCTGTAATCTAGAGATCTTACACTTGGTGATCAAGGATTCATAGTCACTCACTTCCTTAAATCATACACTTCAATTCATGTTCCTCAAGTGAACACTCAAAGTTGATAACTCGCTACTATAACGATTAATTAATCCACCCTGGAGTTAGAGATAAGAGTTGGATAAGAGAAGAAATTACTCTTTCCCAAGCCAAAGGCTGTGTTTTACTCTCAAAATCTGAATTAATATTACAATAAGGGACAAGGGTTTATTTAGGTAGTCATGGAACATCCCTCCATGAATATATAGGATAAACCCTAATTAAGAAGACGCATGGATTACAACTAGGGACAATACAAGCACGAACCTGAGCTTAAAAACATTGAACTATATATAGCAAGAACTAAATAAGGTAAACGCACCTTGTGGTTATTCCAAATGAATCAAACCTTTATAAATTGGATCATGTGCAAATTCATCTTCAATTGCTAGATTAGCTATTCGCTCGGTATCAATGTCCTACTCCGGGCGCTTTATTTTGTACTGGTACGCTTATTTTGTTCGCCATGCCAATCTTTATTTGCAAATACCGCCTACTGGTCGTCACTTTCTCTGCAATGGCAATAAGGAAACTTGGTAATCAGTTATCAATCATATATGCTAAAAACGAATAAATGTATACATATATGAGAAAGAGACTAACTGCTATTTTGTATTCGAACAATAACAAAATACTGCCGTAGGAATCAAGTGAACAGTCCAAGTTTTATATGTCACAGATACATCGTTGATACACTCAATACTTTGATCTTACAGTTGTTAATGTGTGGTTGTGGGAGGATAAAATTCGGTTTTGACGCATGGGCTCATCGCGAGTTATCCAAAAGGATAGCCCAAGGACGTAAGGACATTATCAAGTTTTTGGCATAAAGCTCAAGAGGTATTAGAACGGTATGGTTAGGGACCGGCTATAGTGAAGCTTTCGAGAATCTTGAGAAGTTCAATACTTCGCAAGATTGTTGGCTAATTTTGTTTGGCTTCTCGAAATTTTGCCGGCACAATGGGTGATCTATAAGTAGTTGAAGGAATCAAGAAGCTCAACAACAAAAATTACAACATGTGGCGGCGTACATGGAGTCTTATTTGCAAGGCCAAGACCTTTGAGAGGTCGTCGGTGGTAGGGAAGGTACTCAGTCGGAAGAAGACACCAATGGCACATTGCGTAAGCGGAAAATCAAAGCAGGAAAATCAATGTTTTCCCTGAAGATCACAATTGAAGAAGAATTGTTGGACGAAAAGCCATAACACCGAAAAAAGCATTGGACACCTTCCCCACACTCCTTAAAAAAAAGAACAAATACAAGGCTACAGCTTCTCAAGAATAAGCTATTATCAGTGGCACAATAGGATATGACGATTGTTCAGTATTTTCACAAGGTAAAGTCCACATGTGCCCGGAAATTTCTGAATTAAATCCTACTGCTGCCATGGTAGAATCTAGGATAGAAAGAATAATTATCCAGTCTGAGACCCGAATACTAAGGCTTCGTTGTTGTTGTACAAGGATGGCTGACTCAATCATCGCTTGTTGAGTTTGAGAATAATGAAATGTTTGAAGGCAAATGTTACAACTGTAGAAAGAAAATTTATGTCGAGAGTAATGTTGCCACTTCCAAAAAACAAATAAGAACTTGAGGAAGATTGGGACCCCGAAACATCTTTTGCTATAGAGAAGCAGAAGTTAGCACTCACAACAAGAAGTCTAGAACAGACTGACTACGAGAATGGCCGTGGATTTAGGTTGTTCAAATCATATGACGGGCGATTAAGAGAAGTTGCAGTATCTTTCTGAATACATGGCGTGGTAGTAATACACGATAACCAAGGTTACTGATAGCCCATGTCGGTAAGGAGTAATGGTGCCCCGATATAGAACTAACCAGGTGTCACTACAAGATGTCTACCATGTTCAGAATCTGCTCTGATTGGTACAGCTGACTCGTCAGGTTACTATGTCTTGTTCGATCCCCAAGATGTGAAGGTGTATCGATATCTAAAGGTCTTAGAAAAGCCACCAACAAAGGGATGAAGATTGGAGTCAGTCTATGTAGTGTAAAAAAAAAAAATTGCATAAGTAGACAAGACAAAGAGTAACAAGACAACAAATTTATGGTATATGAGATTGGGTCATGTTAGCTATCATTAGCTCAGACATAGTTTCTGCTGGATGCTAGTATGGTCAAACACATCAACTACCATACAAGGAGTCAAAATTCAAAGCAAAAGAACCATTAGAGTTGGTTCACCCTGATATGTTTGGGCCTATCAAGCAACCATTGGTAGGTGGGATGCAGTGTATGGTGACGTTCATTGATGACTTCTTCATGTACGTGTGGGATTTCTTTATGAAAGAAAAGAGATAGTCGAAGGAGAAGTAGGAAAAAAGATTTGTTGCTTATGCACAGATAATGAAGGAGTATAACTCATGTGAGTTCTTCCAATATCTACGATAATATGAAATACGTCACCAATTCACTTATGCCAACACTCCACAACAGAACGATGTAATAGGAAGAAAGAATCGACATCTTGCACAGATATGTAAGAGTATGCTACATGCGAAAAATGTACTAGAAAGGTTTTGAGCTGAAGCTATGAGAACTGCAGCTTATGTGATCAACAGACTTTCTCAACCAAGGTTAGAATTTGTTTGACCCTTTGAGAAATTGTGGGATACGATACCTACAGGAGTTTGTATTTGTTCCAAGTCATCCACCCCATTTAAAATCAAGAAGTAGCAAGCAAGTAAAAGAGAACCAAGAAGTGGCAAGCAAGCAAATAACCAAGAAGTGAGTTCCATTTAAGTGTGAGTGAGATATAAGGTCTTTGTGAGGAATGTGAGTGTTTTAGAGTTTGTCCCTAAAAAGTAAGTAAGTGTCATAACTTTTAAAATTGTGTCTTCGAGAATTTATGTGTTGTAATATTTGTGAGTGTAATACAAGTAATTTGTTTACTTATTTTGTCTAACACTTAAATATTAGAGTTGTGTACTCTAATTTTCTCAACTGTTTATAAAAGCAAATTTCAACCTTCAGGCGATGGTTTTGGTACCTACAAGAGAAACTTGATGATAAGTGAATCTAGCTTGTGTATGTAGCTACATATTTATAAGACAAATGTATTAGGAAACTGTTATTAGCACTCTAAAAATCTCATTTTGCACTCTTTACTTGTGCATTTTTCTTTCTAATTATAGAAAGTTTGAAAGGCCAAATGAGATTTTTGAGGTGCTAATAACAATTCCCCATATATTGTTACCCTATATTTTACATGGCATGCATGACATGCATACTATTAATCTGCAGAACGGCAATATATTTTAGTATGCTGGTACATAAATCAACAGTAATGATTATGCCAAACCATGCGTAAGAAATCAATTGAGAGAGAGAGAGAGAGAGAGAGAGAGAGAGAGAGAGAGAGAGAGAGTAACTGTGTATTGGATCATCAGAATCATTGGCCAAGTCTGTTTTGGATGAGAGCAATAGCAATACAATGAAGGGAATCATGCAGACAACGCAGGCCTTGTGAACCATTGTTTTAGGTATACGTACGCAAAAGAATTTGAGATTGGAAAGGAAAGTATGAATGGAAAAGAGCAGAGAAGAGGTGAGAATAATTTGTGATTGATTTACTTGATTATTTGCATTATCACAGATTGTATATATATACATGTTACATCAGTTGACTTTGTAAAGTCATAGAAGGCAAGTATTAGAATACAATACAAAAGTAAAGACAGAGACCGAGTGAATCGTGCAGTGCAGCAAATCACGTCCTAATGGTAGATTTGTCTGCTTGGTTTGCTGGACCTGTAGTAATCTCTTTACCTATATCTACTTACTACTTTATATAAAGCGACCAAGTACATGTCTGATTAAATACGTTTTAGTTGCTGATTAGTCAAGGTCGTTGCCCCTTGATTGCGAATTACGGGACTCAACTCTTCCAGAAACCAAACTATTCCACGCGAATTACGGGACTCAACTCTTCCAGAAACCAAACTATTCCACGGTCATATATTGAAAATCAAATAAGTACAGCAATAGATTATAAGAAAATAATAATAGTTATGGTATAATTGGTCCTCAAGTCAAATGGTACGCCAAAGTAAAACTACCAAGTTTTTTTTGGCCACAAGGTAAAATTTTACCATCATCGCACAACAAACATACACAACCGGATGCACAAATTTACAGAGAGCACACAACAACTATGAACCTCCACAACACCAACAAAAGAATAGTCCAACCCGAGAGTTGATACCCAATATAGAAAAGACAAGCATATAAACCTAAGCGACTAAATCCTCTTTCGCCGCCGAAGCACTCTCCGTTGTCCACTAACCAGGCCCCCTACAATTGCCGAAGTTCAAACCCAGCCAAGCCCCAGGAACATAACCATAAACAAATTTCATCATCCTTAAACAAGCACCCCACAGATCGAGTTTGCATCCACCAAGGGAAGGAAGCTAGTGGGAAAAAACCTCCCACAGGCAAAAGTGCCGAGAGTGACACACAAATGGAAGGTGGTGGTGTAACCATCTGAGCCCAAGCTCTACACACCTTCCTAGAAAGTCGTGAAACACGGTAGAATGAAAACGTTACGAGATCGAAACAATGGAATCAAGATCGGATGAAGCCAAGTGAGAGAGAAAGAAAGAAAATGATTTGAGTAGATGCATGGAGGTGGAAAGATTATGGGGGAGGATAAGAAGGGATAGATCAGAAAAGGAGAATTTCCGATTGGGGGCAAAGGCTGGTTAAATCAGAAGCACAAGGGGTGGATGACAGAGGAAAAACGGGTAGGAAAAACAAAGAACAACAGAGGAGGAAAGCAGGAAGAAGAACAGGGAAATGGGCTGCCACCGACCCTAGCCACTACTAGGGTGACATGCCAGACCTCTATATCCTCCAAACGCCAGGGCAAGCACGTGCTGGCCGACACCCGAGGGTGACGAAGCCATATTAACATGCATGAAAGTTATGAAGAAAGAACAAACGTAAATAAAAACATGTAAATTTAACTAATATGAATATGCAATTGTAGGAACGTGTTCAGAGCATACAACTAATCAAGAATATTGTGGAAGGAATATTATGAAAAGGTACAAACAAAAGAATAGGTCATACACCAAGAGAACTTGAAGATACCAATGTGGGAGTACCTTGACGTTAGGATTATACGCCTCGATTCTAAGTCATGAAGTGTGCGCAAAACAAAGCATGAGTGGACCAAGTTTATATGTAAGTAATACTAAAACAATTACTCTTCAAACGTACGAACCCCCATAGAAAACTCATATAGCTAATAAGCAATAGGTTTTCTAAATACCCTAGCACACCATAAAACCTTCGTAAAACATATATCATATATAGTGTACTTAGTAGTGGTGTCACAATCGCTCGCCTAAATGCATATATAAATCTTCCTCCCATAGGCCCTATATTGTCCGCCCGAAGGCGTATATAAATATCATTCGCTCGAAGGCCTTACATCGCCTGCCCGAAGGCATATAAATCTTTTGCTTGTAGGCCCTACATCGCCTGCCCGAAGGCATGTATAAATCTTTCACCCGTAGGCCCTACATCGCCCACCCGAAGGCATATATAAATATCATTCACCTGAAGGCCCTACATTGCCCGCCCGAAGGCATATATAAATGAATATCCACTAAGTAAGCATAGAAAATCATAAACATAATCTTTCCAAAATATATCTCATCGGAGCTTAGTAGCTCAAACATCATATCATAAATCATAGGAGCGTTCGAGCTCAAATCATCATCATAAACCATGTTCATAAGTGTATATATATAATCATAAATATTTCAAAGAACGTAAATTCAATAAAGCATGATATTTCATAAAGCGTAAATCCGATAACTCATAAACGTTTCATAAAATGTAGTCATAAAAATCATGTTTTTCATGTATGCATTTCTAGTAATTAAATCATGCATTTTGGAAGGGAACTCATAGATACTCCGTTGCTGAAGAGCTGTTCGAATAAGGGAGGACGGAAATGCCACTAATAAATGAACCTAAGCACATAAAGGGACCAATTAGTAAAACCCTATTAAGACGACTGAATTTGGAAAAACGGAGTGCAGATTTAGAATCAGGGCGTTGAAATACCTTTAGAGGGGTGCCGGGCAAATTTTATAAAAGTCAACAAAAAGTCAACAAGAATATTCCAAAGAATATTCTTTAACGGAATATTCTTGAATATTCCATCGGATTTGGGGTCAGATCCGGGTCAACCCGGTTGTCGGAAAACCCACCAAAAACTGGGTTTTTGGCCGGAAATCTGGACAATTTTCAAAGCTTTGTAACTTCTTCGTTTCTTAACCAAATTTAACCCATAATATATTAAAACAAAACTAGGAAAGTGTAGAACAAGATTATACTTAAGAAGCCCAAAGGTTGCTGAAGATGGCCGGAAAATGGCCTGGAAGGTGACTGGTCCGCGGGAAAACTGAGGAACTCACTAGAAACTGGGGAAACTTTAAACGTTCATAACTTCTTCAATACTCAACGAAATTGAGTGGTTCAAATAAAATCATACTTCTTGACAAGACAAAGAGAATGGTACCTTTCTCAACGGCTAACTTGCCGTGGTTTGGCCCGAAAATAGCTTGAAAGCCGCGGGGGTCGCCGAAAACTGGGTAAACTTTAAAAGGTTATAACTTCCTCATTTCTTAGCCAAATCGGACCCATAATATGTCAAAACGAAGCTTAAGACAAGAGGAATAAGATTATACCTATTTAGAAGCCAAAAGGTAGCCAGGGATGGCCGAAAAATGCCTACAAACTTACGGGTCTCACCGAAAAACTGGGGAAGAGTCCCCTTGCCGTTTCTGGGTTTGCGGGGGTTCATATAGAGGGTGAGGGATGGTGGTGTGCAGCTGCTGCTATTGTTGTTATGTTTGTGTGCTTTCCTGGAAAGGGAAGGGTAGAGAGGGATGAGAGAAATGATCGAGAAGATAGAGTTTTAGAGAAAGTGATGGGAGGGAAAGAGAGTGACGGGGAGAGAATTTGAAATAGCATGCTATACATAAATACTTGAAGATAGGAAGAAGAATATATATAAAGAAGAAATCAAGTCAGAACGGTTACATAAAGGAGAATGCCACTCCGTCGCGATCGGATTGCAGTGATTCCTCTTTCAGGCCTCCAAGCTCATACTATCTTCCCCCATCAGTATAATAATAGTATCATAACTATAAAAAAATATAAAGTCAAAAATCTATAATAACGTAAGGTAAAAAATATGTACTCATAGTAAGATAACGTCAAAATAGATATGTATTAACATAGAAGATGAAAACTTGTACTAAATTTAAAACCGAAAGTGGAAATGACTCACCCAAACATTTGTAATGTAAAAAATACAAATATATAACTATAATAATGTAAGTGAAAATACTTGCACTGAAAATTAAAACCGAAAATGAAAATAGGTCTTGCCCAAGCATTCGTAACGTCACGTACTTTGTAAATAGGTGTGTGTGTCTTTGGGTCAAAGCCAAACAATAATTAATTAGTAACTAATACCGTAGACGGGTCTACTTACCTACTTGCATAGCAAACCCAACGAATAAGCTATCGATATTACAGTTTGCAGCCCGCAATATCGACAACACATTGTTGTCTCGATAAACAAGTAACTTCCTAAGGGTGCAAAATTACCATTTTATCCAACTCCAAGGTGACATCATCTCAAGCACACAGATTGCAATACTCTTCTGTCTAACAAGTGTTGCCTGTAGAATCTCTCATACTGTGTCTCAAATAGTGCCATACCCAAACCAAAAATAATAATTGTCGTTGTAAACAACTCTAATAGAGATCGGTGCAATTTCTAAACATGCTGAAAGCACATAACAGATGCACATAACATATCCTCCAAGGTCTGGATAGTTCGTTTAGACTGGCCAACAGTCTAAGAATGAAATGTGGTACTGGACAACAACTTAGTACCTATGGCCTTCAAAAAAGCTTCACAAGACTTAGAAGTGAAACGCGCATCCCAATAAGGTATAATAGTGACGGCACACCCTATAACTAAACAATGTGATTCACAAAGCCTAGGCAAGCTGATACATTGAAAAATTCTCTTGGATTTAGCGAAAGGCTATGTCGAGATAGCTAAAAAACCATTCAAGAATTTAAGGGTCGAATCATGTCCATTAAATATAAAGTACAAGATAACTGGATTGAATGCGTAACTTTGATGCAAGAACACGTGCGAGTACTTAACTTGATTATGTGGTGGCAAGTTGAGTTGGTTGAGTGCGGACTTAGACTTTTTCCCATTCTAATATTCACAACAACTTGTTACAACGATAACCTCAGGGAGATTCAATCACCAGTGGTAATGATTCGCTCGATAGGGTATTAATGGGTGATTGAATAATTGATGGTCTTAGCTAAAACTTTCAAACCTGAGTGGTTTTCTTGAATAGTCTATTTACTTTAGAAATGATACGAAGTCCTGTAAGGTAAACACAAACCCAAAGTTGACTAGCATGCCTTCCAATATCAGGAGGAATCTAGGATTACGATCGAACTCGATGTTAATCGAGATGTCAGTCTAACAAAGTCTAGAATGAAGAATTCTACCAAGCGGTTAAAAGTATAGTCCTCATAGATTGGTAGATAATATGAT